TTATTGTTAACAGAGTGATAACTATAAGTTAATGAACATGTAACGATGTAGTTTATTAAGGGTTGATTTCTTTAAGCAGTTATTGTTAACAGGGTGATAACTAAATATTAATGGTAATGTGTCGAAGTATTGTGTTAAGGGTTGATTTCTTTAAGCAGTTATTGTTAACAGGGTGATAACTAAATATTAATGGTAATGTGTCGAAGTATTGTGTTAAGGGTTGATTTCTTTAAGCAGACTATTATTAATAAGCTCATTTTTATGTAGGCTTTCAGACAGGGAGTGCTAATAGTAAGATTTGAAAAACACAAGCACTGCACTAACTTGGTGTTATTGCCCTGGGGGGGGACATAAAATATAACCTACAAGCACTGCACTAACTTGGTGTTATTGCCCTGGGGGGGACATAAAATATAACCTACAAGCACTGCACTAACTTGGTGTTATTGCCCTGGGGGGGACATAAAATATAACCTTTTATCAATTGAAAATTTTCATTTCAGTGTACATTCTTCCTAGTGTATTATATATTTAGTTTTTTTTGCCTTCGTAATCAGTAATTCTTTACATTTATTTACACCAGCTATAGACATTATTAAATCTCAGTCTTTCTTTTAAGAAACAAAAAAACTTTGCTTGGAAATAAAGTGAGGTAAATGGGAGCTATGCGTTCGAAACGTTATAGTTTCGCAAAGTCTGTGCCTAGAACTCACAGAAAATATATCCTTTCTCTTAAGTTATTTGAAATTTCGAATTCGATTTCTGCGGCGTACTCAGTACAATCGGCTCATTGTACAGCTTGGCGCTTGAACAATCATTCATTCATTTTAAGGTTAAAAATCCCCATTTAGGAAAATAAAGTTTTTGTTTTTTGGTTCGGCAAAAAAAAATATTATGTTGAATGTTAGTTTACAAACAGCATAATTTTATTTTTATATTGAGGTAATCACAGAATTCTGTTTTTCGAAAAAAAAACTATAAAGAATTTGGATAGTCAAAAACTAGGCCTCCAAGAGATAAGAAATCTGCATCAATAGTCTCAGTTCGTGGGTGATTTTTTACTCACCAGTGTTGGTGAGTAACAGCGATGAAGTGAACAAAAAACATCTTTAATTACGTGCTTGTTGTGACTTACTTTCTGCGTTTTTGATCTGATTGTCTTTGATGTATTCGGTCCTGCATGGCCAGGTGGTTAGGGCACTTGACTCGTATTCTGAGGGTCACGGGGTTGAATCCCTGTTTCACCAAAACATGCTCGCCCTTTCAGCCGTGGGAGCGTTATAATATGACGGTCAATCCCACTATTCGTTGGTAAAAGAGTAGCCCAAGAGTTGGCGGTGGGTGGTGATAACTAGCTGCCTTCCCTCTAGTCTTAACATTGCTAAATTAGGGACGGCTAGCGCAGATAGACCTCGTGTAGCTTTGCGCAAAATTAAAAAACAAACAAACAAACGGTTCGCTTTCTACTAATGATTCTTTTCGAACTCACCGCGCACCACGCGCAACTAGAGCGTGAAGGCACCCGTTGTACGCGGATAGATCGCTTGTATCATAAATGTGAAGCTATTTCAGGAATAAGGAATCTAATGTCGTAAGTGCAACCATAAAGTTACACAAGGAGGAAAATATTTTTTTTCGTTATCTAAAGACATTTACCCAGCGTGTGGGGTATCAAGTGTTAAAAGTTAAGAGGTAATAAGATATAACTTTGAACCAAGTAATCATTACGAAGTAAATATACTATTATATCTATAAAAAATACTAACATATTTTATACCTGTACGTCACGTAACGCTTTGTTAAACTGGAATCTTTTAACACTGTCTCATTTTGTAAAATTAATCAAACGTTTAGAATGCGTATTATAATGGTTAACGTGCCGGGCTGCTGATCTAAAATGCCAAGGTTCGAAATGTCATATGCTACTGAACACGCTTTGTATTTTCAGCTTTGGGAGAGTGGTAACTGTAACAGTCACTCCTGCTGTTAGGTTAAGAGAAGATGTGTGGGCGGCGGGTGTTGTCCAATTTTTGCATTTGTTCTTTTCTTCACAATATCTTATTAAATTTCATTTATACATTAGAACTCTTAACAGCATCAGATAAATATCTTCGCC